GCATACTCACCCTTCATGCCATGCCACGGTAAAGAAGTTTAAGCCAACTATGCCAAAGATGAATATTTAATAAGGTTTTATTTGAAGTAACAACAACACACAAAACGTCCCTTGTCTGTCAGTTTGCTGTACTGCTGTGGCTTGTGTGCTGCCATGATGCTGGAAGCCATGCTCATTTCAAATGCAAGCAAGGTCACCCAAGGTGAACAGGTTTCTGCAGAGCTTCCAGACTAAGAAAAGACAACAAAGAAGGATGGCAAGACTTCATCTCACATACTTTGGACATGTTGTCAGGAGAGACCAGTCCCTGGAGAAGGACATCATGCTTGGTCAAGTGGAGGCGCAGCGAAACAGAGGAAGGCCCTCACCGAGCTGGATTAACATCTTGGCGGCAGAGCTGAGCTCGGGTATGGGAACACTTATGAAGACGGTGCCGGTCCAGGCAGTGTTTCGTTCTGTTGTGCATTGGGTCACTATGGGCTGGGGCCAACTGGATGACACCTAAAAATGGGGGGGAAAAGAAAATTCAGGAAGAGATGGTCCGGCTTTCCCACTTCCCTTAGTCCATAATTTGCCTGAGAACACTCTTTACCTACACGACACCCATCTCAATGAAGTTTAACTCAACCTGCTCCCGCCATTAGGACTGTCAGGCTTAAAATACGTCCGCCATTAACATTTGGAAAGTACAAATCCACTGCCAGAAAGGCAAGGATGAACATGTTGAGGGTCCGTAAAATAATGAAACATTTTTCCTAGCTTGTCCCATCGTACAGTTGACTCTCAGAGTCTACCTCACAGAAGGGATTGGCAGTCCCATTTCTCTCTCGCTTTTCCTGCTTTCCATGCCCACAAGCCCTTTCTTCTTCTTTTGTATTGAAAAGGTTTATGTTTCGCATTAGCCAGCTGGACTTTGTTTAGATGATTCAATTTTGTTGGCAACATCTAAAGCATCATAGTCAGGTGTCAGTCGAACATGTTTTCTCCCCATCAGGCCTGATCAAGGTGTTGACCTTGGCTACCCATCAATGTCACAGAGCTTCCTCACAGCCTGTTCCATCTGGTGCTTGCTGGCTTTGACATCCACAATGAACACAAGTGTGCTGTTATCTTTGGCAGACTCGGTGGTCAAGGGTAACCTGATGATGGGTAATGGTCCAGCTTGTTTCTCGGTGGGGGGGGGAGGGCGATTTTCCCAGGGCGTTGGGGTTGCCACCTTAGCCTCAGGGTGTTAGGCCACTGGAAGGTGGGTGGCATTCAGATCTTTTTTGTGTGTGGCTGTGGACACCTTACAACACAGCTTTCTTGACATTTAACTCCTTTGCTTTGACTTTAGTTTTGGGAAGGTCAGGAGCTTCCTTTTTTGCCTTTGGCACCATCTTTGTAAAAGCCCCCAACATGTCCCCTTCTTCTTAGGCATCCTCCCACCCCTCAGGGTTCTAGCTCCCAAGTAAATGAGTGCCTTCTTTATCGACATGTTTTATTGACAGGTATTTCACACAGCATACTACTTAACAGTTTAAACATATTAAAAAGAGTTGGACAATCATCACCAATTCTTCATCTGTATCCTCATGGCTCATAAAAGAG